TTATGGACACACTGTCACAAAATAAAAAAAAATTAGAAAGGGCTGGGGAATGTATGGCAAATGAAGGCCCTGGGTTCAATCCACATATCCTTCACATGCACAAATACAATCCAGTGATAACAACATAAATGTAAATAAAACAATGTGAAACATTGCCATAGAAACTGAAAATATATTTTTCCAGAGGAAATATACAAATGACTTTTTTTTTTGTCTTTTTGAGACAGGGTCTTGCTATGCAGTGCAGGCTGGCCTTGAGCTCACTATGTACCCCAGGCTGGCCTCGAATTTGCAAGGATCCTCCTGCCTCAGCCTCCAGAGTGCTGGGATTACAGGTGTATACCACCACGCATGGCCCCTACAAATGGCTTTTAAGCACCATGAAATGATTATGCAAGGTCCTGAGTTCGATTCCCAGTACCAAAAAAAAAGAAGAAAAAAGACCAATGAAATGACTAAAATCTGTAATAATCTCCTATTTTCCTCCCTTTCTTCTTCCCTCCCTCCTTTTCTCCTCCCTCCCTCCCTCCCTTCCTTCCTTCTCTCCATCTCCCTTTCCTATGCTGCATATGGAACCTGGGTCCTTGCACAAACTAGGCAATTGTTCTAGCAACAAGTTAATCCCCACAGTCCCTCCTTTAATTATTTTTCTCCTTCCTTTAAAAAAATTTTTTGAGACAGGGTATCACTGTGTAGCCCAGACTGGCTTCGAGCTGTCGGCAATCCTCCTGCTTCAGCCTCCTGAGTGCTGGGATCACAGGTATGTTGCCACCTCACCCAGCTTCCCCCCTTTAATTTTTAAAAGCCGCTTTGAAGCACTGCATCCAATGATACTGGATAATTTCCCCATCTCAAAATCCTTAATCATGGGGAACAGTGGGGAGGGCAAGGTGATAAAAAGAGAATTAAAATGTGCTTTGTACATGTCTCAGCTGCCCACAAGGAGTGTGGTCATTACTACAAACACGCACTTATAAAAACAGGAGATACAAAAAAAAAACAACAACCAGGAGATACAATAAGAAAAAAAATCCTAATTACATCTGCAATGTGCCTTTGGCCATTTAAGGTAACATGTTCACAATTTCTGTGAATTCAGCAGTGGACATCTTTGGGGATTCATTATTCTGTTCATCAGAACGTGTTTACTACTAGGTGTAGTGGCACACACCTGTAATCTCATTACTTTGGAGGCTGAGGCAGGAGGATCCTTGCAAATTGGAGGCTAGCTGGGCTACATAGTGAGTTTGAGTCCAGCCTGGACCAGCCTGGACTATACAGTGAGACCCTGTCTAAAAAAAATTTCAAATCTAACATGATAACATATAACTTCATATCTGCTAGCATGTCTATATTCAGAAAGGTAGACAAGCTAAGCATGGTAGTGTATGTCTATAATCCCAGCATACTACATTACAAGTTTCAGCCCAGCCTGGGCAATTTTGTGAGCAAAGCTGGGGGATGTTGTCAATACAGAGTTTCTGGGTTCAATCGCTAGTAACACATGCGTGCACGCGCACACACACACAAAGCTAAATTAACATTGGGATAATCACACAATCCTGTGAAAATGCTAAAACAACTGTATTCTTTCTTTTCTCCTATCCTTATCTCCTTGCATGCATCTTTATTTATTTGTAGTACTGGGGATTGAATGCAGGGCCTTCACATGGAGCTACATCCACAGTTCTTTTTGATTTTTTGTTTTTTTTGAGATGGGATCTCACTATGTAGTCCAGGCTGGCCTTGAACTCGCTGTGTAGCCCAGGCTAGCCTCAAAGTCTCAGTAATCCTCCTGCCTTAGCCTCCCAAGGACTGGGATTACAGGTGTGTGCCACCACCCTTGGCCTATTTTGTAAAATTTAAAAATTTTTAGTAGTACGTATTTCTGGTAACAGTGGTTACATTGATTGTGGGGAGTTGGTAACATGTATATAACACATCTGAATTCTTTTTACTTGCCCTTCCTTCTCCTCCC